TGTGTGTGTGTGTGCGTGTGTGTGTGTGTGTTATAAAATGCTGATCCTACCAGATTTGGAGGGCTGTTGGGAGAAGAGCAGTTCACCACCATCAGATCTCTCTCTATGTTCAGCAGACACCAGTTACCAACCTCAGACTCTAAAGGCAAACAATGATCACCATTAGAAACAGCTTAAAACACACACTGAAGTGGTTCTAGAACAATATAGGTTATTATTAACTAACTAACCAAATACTTAGAAACCCTAAGTATATCTTGTGACTCACTTGCAGTCAGAGAGGTAATGCTCCCTGTGCTTATATCCACCATCAAGAGATCCTAAAAAGACCAAAAACAAATGACAATAACATTTTTTTTGCATACAAACGAAAAATTCTCATTATTTGCAAACTGTTAAATAACTGAAATATGAAAAAGGTGATATTAACCCTTAATGTGTATTTTTCCCCTCACAATATCAAGAAATTTCCCAGACAGTAACTTTACCTTGAGGCTGCGCTGAGGGCAAGAAATAATAACACGCTGACTATCAGCTGACCAGCACTGAGGGGACAACTGACAACTGTAGATACCGGTAAAGCCATCTGCACAGCCAAACATTAATCATTTTTTAATATAAATATATGCAGTTTTATATACAGAAAAAAAATGGTGACCACTATGTATTCCCTACCCTCTCCAGGTCGCTTCACGACATCCACCACCACCGAGGTCTTCTTAGTATACCAGTCATACTAGTATTAAAAGAGAAAAGCAAGAGCAAAGCCAATGAACAGAAATTTAAGGAAAGCTAATTTCATAAGAAGGGAAAGTTAGCACATTTGGTTGAAAAAAGGCCAGATTCTGTTTTACCATACACAGCCTGTTGCACTGCATGTGTGGTCCATAGACAGAACACTCTAGGTAGACAATTCGACACTGGTCCGGGCTAAGCCTGGGAGAGCACACTGCGCTGGTGCCTGATGAAAGCTGCTCTGATGGGCACAACAAACACATACATATGTACATGAACAACCTTTTACAGCTGGGTCCATAACACAATAGATTAAACATAAGTGGAACTGCATTTCTACTTAACTGGATATGATAACTTCAACTTAACTTGTGTTCATAAAATAGGTCTGAATGATAGAAATAACACAAATCCACTCACCACATTTCCCACCAGTAAGATCCACGTAGAACAAAGATGACCTGACAGAGAAAAATGAAACATAAACGACTTACAGTATTAGCTTATGAGGGTATTTATGACTGATCAGCTGTGCAGTCTGACTTGATCGTTGTAAACTGTCATCACCTCCTGTTGGGGCAGTACTTGAGGCCAAGTCTGAAAGGCTCATGCCACCAGCCTACAAAAACCACACCTGTGTCACCTGGAGCCCAAAATGCCTGCAAATACAGAAACAGTGTGATACCAAGAGTAAAAGAGAGAAAGAACAAAATATTATGAGGATACTTGAAGAGTGTAAACAGTAAAGAAAAGCATACACCAAATGGAAAAAAGAAAAAAAAACTATTGCACTAACCTGCCCTGGTGAGATATCTTCAGGCACTCCTTCCAACACAGAAACATTGCTTCCCTCGATGTCCAAAACACAAAGCACAGGACAGCTCTTACTAACCAAAGTCTCTCCCCAGTCCTCATGGAAGACAAACTGCTCCCCCTGCAGGAAGAAGATGGGAAAATGTAAACTAACGAGGAAAAGAACTTAAGACCAGAATTAAACCTTTGAACTGTGAAAATATTTTCAGTTTCGGGAATATTAGCTCCATTCACTTTTACAGCCTCCTTTTTCTCAGTTCTCAAGGTCTCGTCCTCATCTCCAATAGAAGACAACTCTGGAGACTCAGTCTATAAGGAGAATATGGAACATAGAATGGTTAATACTTATTAACTACTAGTCATTTCTGTTGTTTCACATTCAATTATACAGTGAATTAACTCTCTAGAGAGGAGACAGTAAACACACTCCACTGCAACTGCATAACAATCACTATTGTTATGGGATTTTGCTTTTGAATAGCAAGGAAAAAGACATATCTTTTAATAAGTTTACAATATTGTTTATGACTGAAAAGTAAGCTTTCTTTCAATGACATTCAACGACTTTCGAGAGTACTTTCATCTCTTTGGTGTGAGTGCAAATATGTCAAAGTCATTAGTTCATTTTTTTATTTTTCCAGAATCCAACATATATTTCATGCTTTTTAATTTGTTTTAATACAAACAGACCTGGAAGAAAGATTCTGCTGTTGGTCTTTTTCTTTCTGCCACATATAAGAGGTGGGTCTCAGAGTGAGACCAAACCAAGCAGCCAAACTGGTCTAAGGATGAAAAATAACCCACACACAAAAGTTTAAATTTAAGATATTTAGGAAAAACAACAAACACCAAAGATTTTACAACAAGATGACTTACCATCTTCATATACTTTGCCATGCTTCTTTAAGGCTGTCAGATCTATGCTCTTCACCTTGATGTTTTTACTCCAGATCTGAAAGGCCACAAGCAGGTAAGTAGAAGAACGTTCAAGTTAAAGTCCGATTTTTTCTAATGTAAGCTAACACACACAGTAGGAGAAATAAAACGCTAAAGTGGAACAAAGACAAATAAAGAGCAGGTGTGAAACTCAGCGCTGACACTGAGCCAGACACACACCTCCAGAAACTGTTTATCTTTCCCTTGAACCGTGCATTCTCTGACAACTGCCTTCATTTCACCAGAAGGAGAATCCTTACTTAGCACCCTGACAGGAGACACAAATGAGAATATATTGTTGTATCTGCTCAGAAAGTATGACAGTATTTGTAGCCAAACAATAGATCAAATATGAAAGTGATACATACTCTCCTTTGATCTCAGTGCAGTTTCCCGAGGCTCCAGAGTAGACCACTGACTTGTCATCGTGAAATACAATGTACTGCCTGCAAAACTTAACATTCTCATTCCTCTCCAGATCCCGCTGGTTCCATTCTGCAGAAGAAAATAACCACATGAAAATATAATTAACGTGCATCATTACATGCAAATCTGACCGTGTTACGTGCAGCACATTAGGTGTACCTGTGTAAATGTTGCTGTATTTGCCTCCATACTGAGAAGTGATTACGGGTCCCACATCTGCTCTGGTCAAAGATGGATAGAGGCTGAGCTCTTTATAGAGCTTGGCAATTTCCTTCGCACTGGTTACCACCTGACAGCACACAGCAGAAAAACTCACATTACGTCTCAGTGACAGAAGCTGTCCAACAGCTAACAATGCCCTGTTCATCTTGTTGCCACGAGGCTAACCATCAGGGTAAAGTTTGTAGGCTATCACTCACTATTTACCGCTAAAAAAAGGAAACCAGATGTTATTAAACATATGTCAAAATAAAGCAACACCCATGCCTTCGACAAAGAAACCAATTAAAACAGTTTGTTTACTTTGAGTAGCATTTGTCCGATTTAACAGTATCCACATGACCAGGAACTTCCTGCAGAAGAAAACAACTGAATCACTGTCCGACTGCTAGCTTGACTCGGAAGCTGGCTAACGTTAGTCAGTTATTACAAAAAAATCGTGACAGCGTAATTACCGCCCGCAACACATTTGCACCTATTTAGTAACAGATTTTTGGACACAAAATCCACACATAATTAACGTCAGCCGTCAGTTCCACTTAAATCATACCTGCGACTCCATAATAGCAACGGTGTGTGTCGCTAGTCTGTAAATATCAACCAGTTAGCGGCACAAAGAATGAAAGCGCCACTACAAAGCGAGCCATACACGTTACCGCTTCCTGCTGCCCCTTATAAAATAAAATACTTGATAAACAGTTTCTGAATGAATCAAAGCATCGTTATTAAGTTAATGAATACATATTAATTTTAAACGAATAAAAGCACTCTAAAATGTGTTGCCGACAACTTAGAACGCTGTTCACTAAACAGAGGTGTTAAGCATATACTTTTATTTTGTAAAACAATTGCTATTGTGATACTTAACAGGAAGCAGCACACAGCAAGTAAGGAACTTTTTAGATGCCCACTTGCACTGTTAAAACTGCTTTTACACTACTTTACATAGTGTTAAATTAAATATCTTAACTATCTAATTGTATATGATAAGAGAGAAACTTATATGGGGAAAATAGGTGATTACATAACTTTATGAGTAGTATTTATTTAATCCCTGTGTGCATGACAGCTACTGCTCTGGTCTTGTCAGTCAGCTGTGGTAGGTGGGGTCACAAAGAGCCAAGATGGCTGATTTTGAGGAGCCGCTGTCAGATGAAGAGAAGGTTTGGAGACTCTTTAATTCTTTGCTCAGCAACATTTTTCTCATTTATAAATGGGCTCACCTGTTATATATTTATGTGAAATTTGGAAAGAGAATGGTAGTTTTTGTTCTGATGTAGAAATTATAAACTTCTGTTTTAAGCTACCGTGAGCTAACTAGCCAACGCTAGTTAGTTGGCTAGCAGCTACAGAAGCAAACATCCATTCATTGAGGGTTTAACCATTTTGGTGCTGAAAAAATGTTTAGAATAAAAATTAAATTAAAATAAAAGTATCACGACTAGTTTCCAACTAGTGTGACAATGTCCATGCCAGTGATAATCACAGAGAGGGCTGTGTGTTCCTCCTATAGCGTTCGCTAACATTAGCAGCTACCATTACTTTGCCTTCGATTTCTGGGTCAAACAGATTCAGTTGCAGCTCAAATACTTATGTTTGCATCACATGACTTAAGATCAGGATTCAGGTGCCTAGAGTTAAGATGAAGCCTGACGGTGTCACTATTCGCAACGCCAGTTAGAGGCATGCATTTCAGCATTGTCGTTCTTTGAGAAAGGGTAACTACTGTAGGGTAAGGCATCTGAACAGGAAGACAAAGTGGCGACAACATTCTTCTGATAACATCAATCTGTTGCCATTCAGGTATGAAAACAAAGGGCGAGATGACATTTTGCTTACGAGGAACTGACAAGCAGTGTTTAAATTCAGTGTCCACTTCAAATGACAGTCTATCCTTTATTTAGTAAAACTTGCTCTCTGCTAGGTTAAAGTCTCGACTGTTGCAAAAGACATGGGAGCTTTAAAGTTACACTGACTTTTTCACAAGAAAAGCTAGCAACCTAATTCAAAAAAAGTAACAAAACCGGTTGTTAATTGCAATGTTAAATTTGTTAAAATGTGGTTACTTACTTGAGCCAAAATGGCAAAAGCTACAAGAATGTTAGGAATTACCCCACAGATTGAAACCAAGTCACTGTACAGAATATTTGCCTTCAAAAGTGTCTAATAAATGCCAGAATGAGTACAACATGGGGGTTACAGACGCCAGGCTAATCAGACATTGACAAGTCTGGGTTTGGCAGTCGTTCCGATATTACAGACTTTGTACCAGGGAGGTGAGAGATTAAAGATCCAGTGGGTAATGACAGGAAAATGTGGGATTGCAGTGAACCAGTAGACCTCAGCAGAAATCCCCTCCTACCTTTCCCATGAAACAAAATGTTATTATATATTTTTTAAACTGTGTAAAATAGGTTTTCATTTACTCAAACATAAGATATTTTTGTCTATAAAATGGCAATAAATGAGAGAAAATCATGTTTTGTTTTGCTTAAAAAATACAACAAGCTTATTGCCTATTCCACATCACATGCTGTAATGTGAATTACCATGTATACGGACCTTGCAAAGGCCCAGTCTGAGTCAGAAAAAGCCCTCATTACTTTGATGGCTGAATTAATTGGTGGCATTAAATTTTTGTCTGCAGGTCCGCATAGCCGCCAACTTTGTGACACATGCCCCCCCTGGAGAGTTCAATGAAGTCTTCAATGGTAAGAAGCAGATGTAGAAAGATGTCTTTGATAATATTACTGACTTATGTATTATACTTTGCTTCGAACAATAAGAATAACTTTCTGTCTCTTGAGAGATCTATCCAAACGTTGATTTATTTTACTCTTTGTAGATGTGCGGCTTCTCCTCAGCAATGACAATCTTCTTAGGGAGGGGGCTTCGCAGTAAGTGCTGCTTAGTTACGCATATTCAGGAAATGGGTTACAAAAGTTTCCATATGGGAAATTTTTCATTTCAGAGATGTTTGTCATTCCTTATATCTTTAAGGCACTTTTTTGAAATACATTTGATGCCATATTATTAATATATACTTTGTTTTTCTGCTGATTTTCTTCCTCCAGCTCCTTTGCCCAGTACAACATGGATCAATTTACACCTGCCAAGTTAGAGGGATATGATGAGCCGGTATGTTGGGACTCTTGAAATCATTCATTTAAATTGATCATTTTTTTGGGCTCCCCTGAAGCGTTAGTTGATCACGTTTTGATTCATCAGTTGCTCATGAGAAAGATCTGAGTACTTCTGTGTGATGTGCATTTATTTCCAGCCCTAAAACAATTTTCTGATGAGCCCTAAATAATCAAACAAATATAAAACCAGCCAACTAAGAAAATCTTGGTTCAAGTGCAGTCGTTTTCATTTTAGGTGAGCAAATACGTGCAACAGGGTTATTCACTCTTTCTTATTCCTTCATTTAAGGTCCTGATCACAGAGCATGGTGACTTGGGTCAGGGACATTTCCTCGATCCTCGCAACTGTTTATCGTTCCGTTTCGACCACCTAAGAAAAGAAGTGAGCGACGTGCAGCCATACGAAGGAGAGACAGCCCTGAGAAGTTGGAGAGATGCCTGTGATACTGCCCTTAGTGCCTATGTCAAAGAGCACTACCCTACTGGAGTCTGTACGGTAAGGTGCATTTAAAACAATATGGTCATTATAGACAACATTGCCTGCTGTTTACCCATAACATCTATGTGTTGCAGGTATATGGGAAAACAGTTGATGGTCAGCAAACGATCATAGCCTGCATTGAAGGACATCAGTTTCAACCCAAAAACTTTTGGTATAGTGTACATCCTGAAAACAGCAGATAAAAAAATGCATATGTGAATATATCTAAATATAATAGAATATTTTATTTTTCATAATGTGGCTCTGTCACAGAAATGCTTAGAAATATAGTCTTCTGGGTAAAGGGGGAATATTAGGTACTTATTCAGTGCTTTTCGCTTCCTGATGATCCTGTTTGTAACACAAGTCTTCTTTTATTTTCCCTGACAAAGGAATGGTCGCTGCAGGTCAGAGTGGAAGCTTACCATTGGTCAGTCCACTGCTCAGGTGGTAGGAGTATTGAAAATCCAGGTCAGTGTACACATTGTCATAAATAAGGAGAAATATTGTTGCAAAATATTGGTTTGATAATGAACTTTTTTTTTTTAATTGCAGGTGCACTATTATGAAGATGGGAATGTGCAACTGGTTAGCCACAAGGAGGTAGAAGACTCCATACCAGTGACTGTAAGTACAAATATTAGTCTGATGTGTGTCAACAATGTGCGCTGTAGTCGTCTGACTGTGACAGCTTTGTGTGAAGACAAAAGACGTCTCTCACGTTTTTTTTGACAGAATGAGATCCAGACAGCTAAGGAATTTGTTGACATTATTGAGAATGCAGAAAATGACTACCAGGTGAGCTAGCTTTTGCTGACTACATGGTTTATGTACTGCCTTAAAAATAAGTGTTACCTGTAACATTTTGAATTTTTAAAAAAGGAAAAACATCACAACTGATGTTCGTTTCCCTTCTGCTTTTGCTCCCTCAGACTGCTATCAGTGAGAACTACCAGACCATGTCTGATACGACCTTTAAGGCCCTGCGTCGTCAGCTGCCTGTCACACGCACAAAGATTGATTGGAATAAGATTCTAAGTTACAAGATTGGCAAGGAGATGCAGAATGCTTAAAGCAAGGCCGGGGACTGACCAGGGAGATGCATGCTCCTGCTGGCCCACAACCCACCTGTACCTGCGCAAGGACTAACCAAAGCAAAACTATATCAATATGGGGCAAGGAAAAAAAGAAAACACAAAAAAAATATAACTAAAGGTGTCTGGACTGTTAGGCACAGATGTCTGTCTGTTTGCAGGAATGTTCAATTATGGAAATAATCATGGTTTAGAGAAAATGGTTGTATGTTTGGACAGGGCTGTGCTCAGGACTGCAGCATTAGAGAAGTAAATTTCCTCAGCCGTCTAAGGATCACAGACCTTCTTAGAAGCTAGTATGAGAAGTTGTGTATATATTCTTATTCTTAGTAAAACTGATGTAGAACTATTACAGTTCTCAGCACACACAGAAGGAACCCGGATGCACAAAGCAGCTCATGAGAGAAATCAAGCACACCATCACCTATCAGGGTTTGTTTTTAAGAGATTTTGTGTCATTGTGGTGCGATGAATTAGAACTCAAGTACATGAGTAAAATCAAAATATTGAGTAGCCATTATCTGCCGTGACAGTTTAACTGTCCAGTACCAAGCTGGCAGTCTTTTTGAACGGACATGGGGCTTAGTTACACACTGCAAACAAAACTGAAGCATATTTATTCCTGTTGCAAACATTTAAAAATGGCACAATCCTTAGCATAGCTCTGTTCCTGCACCTATGTGGTTGTCAGTATGTGTTACAGCCAAGGGAATGTTGTTTTCTGTTGTGATCCACTGATGTATGGTCTCTCCACCCATGCAAGCTATGACGACTGAAATTAGATAAAGCAACTTCTATGACGCTGCATCTGCAATACATTCTGTTCTTACTTTGGCAACACCCTCATTGCTGTACAGCTTTTCCTTTGTATAGAGGAAAACTTATATACTCACATTAACCAAGATTTATTTGCCAAAATCTCTTTCCTATGGTAAAGATCTCCATCTTCCCATCCACGTATGCAAATATCTATTTTAATACACACGTTTTTGTTGGGAGTCTTCGAAAATTGCTCTGTTAACTGCAACAAACTGTTTGTGTACTGGCCGGCGCCAAGTGGACAGAGCAGCTGCCACATGAGGCACGATCTTACTGTAAATGACTTCTGTAAGGCCACATCATATACTGTTTTGCATCACTTCTGAGTAGGCAGACTCCAGATCAGTTACTTGTTAGCTATATTATGTGCTGTGTCTAAACCTTACAATACAAAACTGTGTGCCGATCAGTGAACGTCAATACTGTACTGCCCCATTCTGTTCAAATAAAGAGATTGAACGTGACAGAGTTTTATTTCATTGTCTGCTCCTGATACAAAAAGTTAGATGGCACTCCAATCAAGATTTAAACAACGCACATTGTTTTAAAAGACACTCTAGGCTTTCAAGACATGGACAGTTTATTGGAAAAGCACAAAATGTTGCAGGTTTTCATGTCATCCTTTACACAGGTGAGGGTCACTGACAGCAGTGTATGCCTACAGATTCAAATAGAATGGCTAAAATATTTGCTTGGAAGGAATGAATGGTTTTAAAGCCAAGGATCATACAGTAAGTCACAGGAAATAATACAATAGAAAGATTACAGTGGCATGATTGGCAGCTTTAGTGTCCACTCTTACTGACAGTATAACTACAATTTATCACATAATAATGACACAGTCCTCCCTGTGAAGCAGATGTCACTAAACAAAATCATAGACATACAGTAAAGTAGTGCAAAGTGCGGTCTCCCTTTTCATAATACTCAAGTGTAGCATAAAAACAGTACATGCAGGTGATGTTTGTTCATAAAGAACTTTTTCTTTTACAGTATAATAAAGTTTTTAACTGAGAATCTCTAGAAACTGCATAAGAAGTCATTGGGAAAACATTTCAAAAACACAGTGAAAGCTACACGTTTGCTTACATTTACACATTTGAGCCCTACACAGTCTATTTTTTTAACATTGTGTGACTGGTGTTTTTTTAATTGTAAAACAATGAGCAGCTTCTGCTCATGACGAAAGAAAAGGTTTGTTAAACAATGACAAAAACTATAATAATTTCTTTAAAAAAATCAACAGGTGCTTTCTTTAAATTGTAAATTGTTTTTGGATACTTTTAATATAGTGTCTAAAATAGCACATTTTCAATTATTACACCAACTCACAATAGTTCTACGTAAAGAAAGAAAGAAAGAAAGAAAGAAAGAAAGAAAGACAGCCAAGTGACAAAAAACAGAAGTGCATCTAAAAGAATCCATGTACTGTAGTTCATTTCAAATAGTTCTACTTTCCAACTGTTTCATGGAGGTAGGGGTGCAGCAGAATCTGGATCTGACTGAACCAGCACAGCTTCAGTTGTCTAGACTTCTGATTTGGAGTGCTATTAAGTAGTTTTGCTACTTAAGATGGATACTACAAAACTGCCGACATAACCCTGAATTGTTTAGCAGTTGTTGGTTAGTGTGATCTTTCTATTAACCACTTGAAGATAAAACCAGGTCAGACTCCTTAGCCCCCTCCTGGCCACTGCTACTGTGCCCACAGTTCCCCGTCAGCTCTGGAAAGAGGCTGGTTCGAGCAGAGTGACTGGGAGAGCCTGGAGTTGGACTCATGCCCGGCTTCTTGGGAGGAGTTGGGGGAGGGTATGCCCTCTCTGAACGTGGAATGATGGGGGAGCGGATGCCTGGAGATAGAGGCCCTGAAGGCGACCTTCCTCCCGGGGGAGATGCTGCTAGATTGCGGTAGTCTGTACCAAATGGAGAGCTGCTGATTGGAGCCAGCTTGACTCCAGCCTGCTGATTGGTAAAGCGGGACAGCACCTGAGTGACAGTGTTGCGGGCCAGCTGCTTAGCTGTGGTGTGCTCTGGTGGGGGAGGAATGCAGGAGGTGGTGGGGGAGAGGTCCCTCGGGGAAAGTGGGCCGCCATGCTGCTGGTGATCCAGCTCCGCCTGACTCTGGAACTTGTGCCTGGCAGCCTGGAACCGCTGATTGACTCCAGCCTGGTAGGAGGACTGATGGAAACCAGGACTGCCCAAACGCTTTGCCAGAACAGGAGAAGAAATGGGGGAAGAGGAGAGGGAAGAGGAGGCTGTGCTTGAGGGAGAGGCAGGATGAGGGTGAGGGGAATGCAAAAGTGATCCTCCCCCATTTTCTACTACCCCACCATTATCTGCCCCTCTCCCCTCCTGTGTCAGTTCTGTCTCTTTTTGACCATGATGGCCGTTGACTTTTGACAGTGAGGTGGATTTAGGCGTGACGGTTATCTTTCCATCCAGCTCAGTCTGAACAGAAGTGGAATCTGCCATCTTTTTGGGTATTGACTCTTTCTCCTCCACCACAGCTGCCTTTGCCTCTTCTTTAGATCCTTCAAGTTCAGCCAACCTCCTTTTCAGGTCCTCCACCTGTCTCTCAAGCTCCTTACTCCTTTCCTCCTCTTTACCCAGTCTGACTTTCAAGTGCTCACGTTCTCTGTCAAACTCAGCCATCTGTTTCTCAGATTTGGCCTGAAGCTTGGCTGCCTTGCTCTTCTCATTTTCAAGAACAGCCCGGAGCTTCTCCAGGGCACTGGTCTCCTCTTGCAGCAATACTTGAAGTTGTGAGACTTTCTGGGCTTCCTCCTGAGCCTGGCTGCTGGCTTTCTGGAGCTCCAGAGTCAGAGTTGAGGAGAGCTGCTGCTGCTGGGACAGAGACTCCTCCACCTTGCTCACTACTTGGGCTTTGTCCTTCTCTAATCTCTGCACCGTTGCATGCTCCACTTCCAGCTAGAAAGGGAATGAGAGAGACACAAATAAAGTCATAGTTGCTCTGCCACATGTGGCCACAAGGAGGCACTAGAGCACTGCTGTGTCACAGTAGATCCAACAGTGGAGCAGATACTGTTTTCTTTAAAAATACACATTTTCTGAAAAGTCTATTCACTATAACCAAGCTGGCAGCAATCGTGTTTTTCTGTTTCAAACACTGCTGTCTATTTTAGAGCTGTTTTATATGTCAATGACTTTTATGACATTAACTCAAGTGACACTGAGATAATAATGATATTGTCTCATTTAAAAAGCTATGTTTTTTGGAAATGAGCATTTACTGTGAAATCTTTTGAAGATTTCTGGGCTTCTAAAGAGCTTTGATGAGTATTAGAAGGAAGTGAGAGGTGAGAAAATATAATGGTGTGTGTATTTGGTATGAGGCAGGAAGGCCTAAGGAAGACTGAGAGACGCTCAGGAAGCCTTTCTTACATAAGGTCCTCGTGTGAAGTTTATGTAGTAGCCGATTGTGTGCTCTCAGTGTGCGTGCTCGCAGGCTGACCTTGCATTAGACGTGAACATCCATTATCTCAGGCTTCCTGAGACCATAAAGCCCCATGGCAACTAGTCAGCTAAACAATGGTCTCTTCCTCATCTGTTTCCCATGGAACATTTCTGTGCCTGTGTGTGTGTCTATACTTTTAACCGGACAAGCCCTCTCCACCCTACTGAGTTACACAGTGGAGTTTCACTGATGCTTCCCTGCTGCTGGGTTTTAAATCACCACCACAACAGCGAAAAAGGACACTGTGCAGACAGGGAGAGGTGAGGGAAAGGGAAGCAGGTTGACCAGATGTGCTCATCTGTCAGCAAGAGAGGAACAATTTCTATAAGACGTTAACATTTTATCTCACAAAGACAAACATACATATAGACACGCTTATTGTTTCGCCTAGCCTTTACATTCCAGTCTCACCTGATGCAGTAGTTTATCTCTTTCTGTCTGCAGCATGAAGGTGAAATCAGCATGGAGTGCAGATTCCTGGACGTGTCGTCGTTTCTCCTCCTCCAAGTCTGCTATCATCTATCAAACATACAGCCAAAGGGAAAAACACTAAAGTTGTGAGTCTCCCACACATATCCTCACAGACCAGAGCTTTGGGGTGGAGAAGCTCCACATCCCCTCTCGGTCTGCCTCACTACTATAAGCCAAATCAGTAGCTGAAACAAATGCATGTCCACACACAAAGCAAACTTGCACTTGTGTTAGCCCATGTGTGATAATGGCTGTGTAGAAAACCTGATCTGAAGACTAGTGACTATCTGAATGTGCATTGCCCCTTACCCTTCTGTGTCTGTTTTCAGCAGCAGCTAACTGTCCCATCATCCTCTCCTGCATCCTCTTGCAGTGAGCCATGACCAGTTTAAGCACAGCCAGAGGATTTGGCCCCACTGCCCTTCCCTGCAGATGCGTGTGAGGTTCGGCGGCTGTGTTATGGCACTCCATGGCTTCGTTGTCCCGCTGCAGGGCCAGGAATGGATCGCTGAGGTCATATTGTCCGTAGCGCTCTTGGACAAAAGCATCTCTGTGCTGAGCCTATCAGATATACACAAACATTAACCTGTTATTTTGTTGCATATACAATGACAAGAAATCCATTCTGTTCTATTCACATATATGAATACGGTTGTGCTTTCCAAGAGATGCTGAAAATCAGCTTGAACAAATATCAAATATTGAAGCGCATGGTAACACACATTTTTGTGTAGCACAGCAGGCAACAAGAGAGAGAAAAAAATCGACTACAGTCTACAGTCATGTGAAAAAGGAAGTTTTCACAGGACTCTATGTAGTCCTGTGAAAAACTAAGTACACAACACAATTCAATAGCGTGTAGAAACACCTTTATCAACAATACCTTGAAGTTTGTTTTCTGTGTGACTAAATCAGTCTCTTTTTGGTTCTCTTTTTTTTTAAATTTGGCATTAGTTTATGGACGCCTGTCTTAAAGTCCTGCAACAGCATTTTAACCAGGCTGGACTTTGACTGGGCCACTGGAGCACCTGGATTATTTTCTTTTTTAGACATTCTGTTGAAGATTTGCTACTGTGCTTGGGATTATGGTCCTACTGCATGACCCAGTTTCAGCTAAGCTTCAGCAGTCGGACAGACGGCCTCACAAGTGACTCTAGAATACTAAGTTCATAATCAAAGACTGTAAGGTGTTCAGGTCTCATGGCTGCAAAACAAGCACTAATTATTATCTCTATATCTCTGTGACTGACATTTGGTAGGGGGCGTTTGCCCTGATATGCCGTGTTTTGTCTTATCCAAAATGTGGTGCTTTACATTATAGCCAAACATCTCCACTTTGGTCTGTACAAAGGACACTGTTCCAGGAGTCTAGTTTGTTTAGACGCAACTTTGCAAACCCAAGCCATGTAGCCACGTTCTTTATAGAGAAAACAGGCTTTTGGCAACCCTTCCAGAAAGTCACACTAGTCCAATCTTTTTCTAATTGTACTATCATTAACTATCATTAACTCTAACAGT